CTCCCGGCGATCGCCACCGCCGCCTCTCCCCGCTGCAGTGATGTGCGACAAGGAGTTCATGTGGGCCCTGAAGAACGGAGACCTGGACGAGGTGAAGGACTATGTGGCCAAGGTGAGCGGGGCTGGGGAGTGGGCGAGGGCGGCGGGCGGGCGGGAGCTGGAGCCGGGGAAGCGGCGGGGGCGGCCAGGCCGCCGGGATCCGGGGGCAGCGCGGAGAGGGAGGGCCTCCAGGGGGATCTGGCCAGAGAGAAGGGCCCCGGGGCGTCCCGTGGCCATCACCGCTGGACTCACTGGCAGGCGTGTTCACCTGGACCCTCGGGTGGGGGCGGGGTGGCATCCTTGAGTCTCGTCCCCACCCCCCAAGCCTGATGGTTCGCGGCCACCCCTCGTCTACACCACGATCTCAAGTCCTTCATTAAATGGGGTCGTCCTCGCTCTCGGACTTGCCGGTTGCTGGATGGAGTGACCCACATAACTAGGACCACAGGATCGTTTTCTTTTAACTCCGAGCCTCCAGCGATCGTCCCGGCTTCGTTGGCAACGGAAGAGAGGGCTCAGAATAGCAGTGGTGGCGATTTTGAAACTTGTATCACTTGGTGGGTAGAGCCCTAACTTCGGGCGTGGGCCTTTTCTTCTCCCCGCCACAGCACAGACCTGTTTGCGCCACCGGGGAGGCCGGGCCCCTCTCAGGTGGCACCTGGCAGCGTCTCAGGTCGTGTTCAGCAAGCACGTTGGACTTCCCGTGCACGGCCCCCCCACACCCCCATCGCATCCGAAGTGCTTCCAAGAGTAGGAGCTTGGGATGCGCTCTTCGTGGTTGAGTACTAAGTAGAAAATGATGATGAAAGCCCATCAAATGCCTAAGGTGAAGGCTCAGAACAGAGTCCAGAGCGGAGTCCAGCATTGTGGCAGACTGGCACGTGGAGAGCCACCTGGCCGGCCTCTGGATCCCTGGGCTGGGCCTTTTGGAATTCTTGGAGCACGCACATGATCTTAGCTGGGTGGCCCTCTTCTAAAGAAGAGAACGATTCCAAAACAAAACAACATACTGGTGGTTTTATGACATAGCTGTGGAGGGCCTGTCAGCCCCCCTTTTGTCAGTGTGAAAGGCAGGGCTGGATCTGAATCCTCAGAACTGTACACACAAGCCTTGGGTGCATAGCTGTGCGTTTTGCTTCAGAGATCGGTGTTGGGAAACCTGAGCAGAAGCAGAGCACTCGTGGGATTGTGCAAGGCGCAGCCTAAGGGCCTGGGATGCACGTACATCCGCATGGCTTGCTGCTTAGGACAGACCGCCTCTGTTTCCGCACCTTCCCAGCCAGCAGAGCAGAGCCTGACTTCTTGGAAGATTTCTGGTGAAGTTTCTGGGGAGGAATTGCTTAGAACGCCTCCCTCAGCTGGACACTGCAGTGCTGTGAAGTGGGCGGCTTTGTGTCACCCACTGAGCCCTGGCTGTGCTTAAGATGCAGAGTTGACAAGTACCAACTGAAATCACAGCTGCAGAAATAACACCATTTACATAGTGTCTTCCTGTTAGGTATTTGTCATCCAGACCTCAGCCTAGTGGATGAGGCCTGTTACTGGCTGCATTGTACAGATAGAATTACTGAGCGGCAGAGTCCCAGAGATGGCATGTGGTGACCCCAGAATTACGTTGCTGTCTCCAAAAACTGATGCCAGGCACAGTGTCTGGCTTCACGGTCACATCAGACTTGGGTTTGGTCAGCCCATTTCCACAGTGCACACTTGGGCAGAGAAATGAATCCACATCTCCATCAGAGAGAGAGAGGGAGAGAGAGAGAGAGTGTGTGTGTGTGTGTGTGTATTTGGGCCAGAGGAAGGCTTGAGAACTGGTTTAGCAGAAAAGTTTATCTGTAATGTAGTAGAGTAGTTGGATCATACCATAAGACTTTCTTTGTGATGACTTGGGTCTCTTAACATCTTTTAGTAATGAAAAATAACCAAAAATAAAAGGGATCACTGTGGTTTTGACTGACCACACCCCCTTCTTTGGCCTATTGCCTCCCGGCACCGCCCCCCCTTGGTGGTTCCTCTGGTGTTCATTGGCTCACCTTGTTCACTCAGCACTTCCTGAAATGGGACTTGTGTTCCAAGATTATCTTTGAACATGATCTATCCTCTTCTCTCCCATTTCTTCTAATGACATCTTAACCAGTTGCCCACACTAAGGCGTTTTGGTAGCTGGCTGAGTGTTAGCGCCACCTTTGTCTCTGCTTGTAGCTCCTCCTTCACACCAGGCCTCTTCCCTCCCTGGGCCACCCGTCTCCTTAGCACAGGAGCTTCTGCTGCCCGGCCTCCATTGTGTATGTCCTCTGACAGTAGGATCTGCCCCTTGCTGGTCAGCTGACCAGCCTAGGGATCTCTTCATCATGCCAGTCTGCACAAGTTCTCTCGTCCACCAGACGCCTTCCACTAACCCAAAGAGCCCTCACGGCCTTCACTTTGATTCTGACTTACAGCAACCCAGCGCCTCGTTCCCTGGCCTTTGAGTAAGCGCCAGACTCCCACTGGCTCGTTTTGAAAGATTCCTGTTCTGGCCCTTTGTGTTCTGGGCCCTGCTTACTTCTAACTCCCCTCCCATAGGTGCCCACACAGCTCCAGACCCACAATGCTGTTCTTCCGTGGAGTTCTTCCCATCCTCCTTGACCAGGTCCCTGCTGACCTCAGGTTCTAGTCCAACATGATGGACTCCCCTTAGCGTCAGTGTCCTTTCTCCCAGAAAACCCTCCGCCTTAGTGGAGCTTTCCTGTGTTTCTTCACACTCATCTGCTCTGTTGTTTGCATGTCTGCCTTTCCTTGCATGTTTGCTTGCTCCGCAGCTCTGGGTGTAGATTTCGCTACTCAGTTCATTGCCATTGAGTCAGGCTGACTTGGCTGACCTCCCAACAGGATTTTAGGGGCTGTAAATCACACAGCAGATTGCCCATCTGTCTTTCTCCTTTGGCGCAGCTGATGGATTTGAACTGCCTACCTTTGAGTTGGGAGTGCAACTCCTTACCCACCAAAGCTCCGTGTAGGTAATGTGTACCATCAAGGTGGAACCAACCCATAGCTTATCTTCCAGTGGGTTTTCACAGCCATTTAATAGCATGGAAGGAAATTGTCCATCTCTTCCTACCACAGAGCAGCTGGTAGGTTCCAGCTACATACCTTTTCATTGCCAGCACATCTCTTACCACTAGGCCACCAGAGCTCCCTGCGTTCAGTTTGATCCTAACTTAGCTATGCTTTCAGTCATTTTGGTTGACGGTAAGCGTTGGCTGGCTCATTTACAGGGCCAAGTATTAGAAACACAGAGTGTGTTCTCTTAAGTTTTCATTTGCTTCTTGCTACATAATTTTCAATATCAGTAATAAATTCCGATTTTAAGTTTAGGAAAACTGAATCTTGAGAAATTACTTGAAAAGGTCAGGAAGTAAGTAATATAACTAGACTTTAGATCCAGGCCTGCTGGAGTCCCCTGCTAGTATTTTTCACACTGTGTCTCACAGTGCGGTTTCTTTGCTTACACTACCTTAAAATCAGCACGTGGAGATGAGGAAGAGACTTGAAAGAGGCAGCAGACTCAGATCGGTGACTCCACATGCAGAGACAGAAAATAGATACCATTTGTTTACATTTCTGGTTTTAAAAACTGGACAGAATTTGCATAGAGGCCAACATTTCTGTAAACCTAAATTCTCTTCTGGTGGCTTGGTAGTAAGGAGTTCTGTTGCCAGCCCAAAGGCATATGGTTGAAATCTACCATCTACTCTGTAGGAGACAGATGGCCATCTCCTGAGTGATTTATGTCCCTGGAAACCTGCTGGATGGTCAGCTATGTGTCGGCTCGACTCAAACTCTCTTCAGGGAACTGTCGTAGCCAAGTGGTAAGGAGTTGGGCTGCCAACCCAAAGACAGATGGTTTGAATCCGCCAGCTGCTCCAAGGAAGAAAGATGAGCAAGTGACAGCGTCTGAAGACCCACTGGAGGGTCAGTTATGAGTCACTTCTGACTCAATGACAAATTCTTGGCAGCGATCTTGCCACCATCAAGGGAGGGAGGGCAGAATGTACTTCACTGTGTGCACACCAGAGCATTTCCTGTAGTTAACTCCTGTGAGTGATAAAGAGACTTGAGGCAGAGGGCAGGAACTGTCAGGAATTGTGAAGCTGAGATTTGAACCTGCCTTGGGGACTTGAGAGTCCCCTGGCTGTTCCCCGCTGCTCGTACCATTGACTCCCATTTCTAAGTGATGCTGGCTCGTTCAGGGCACACTGTTACCGCCTTTTGTATGTTGTATTCACAGGAGGATGGAGATGACACCCACCCCCCCCCCCCCCCCAAGGCTCCAGGCAGATACTTGCAGGAGGATGTTGGTGATCTGCTGGCCCAGGTGAACGCCCAGGGCTGGGTTGATAGCAGCCTGTGCCTCCCTCGGGGCTACTCTGTATTCTCTTGTTTACGAGGACTTCTGTTTCACTTGCTGTGAAACCCTAGACGTCAGGCCTCTAACTTCCCTTTCTCTGTGGTTTCCTTTCCCTCTCCATCCCCCATTCTAATTACATCTGCCTCTGACACTCTCATGACTTTGAAAAGCAGCAGTTGTGCACCCTGTGAGGTGACGGGATCTCCTCAACCCGAGAAATTCATCAACTCCAGTCTTGAGAAATTTGGAGACTCGCAGAGTCACTCTTCACTTTCTGAGGAGAGCAGCCTGTTTTGCCAAGGTCCTGATCCTGTCTGTTGCATTTATGTTTAGACTGTTGCCCTTTGCTTTGTTTTGTTGTTTTCCTCTCTTCTCTCAGGAACGGAGAGAGCCAGTCAGAAAACAGAGCCCAGCGTGTCTAAGGCACAGGTACCCTGAGGAAGTAGAGAAAGGACGGACAGATGCTTTTCCTTCTCGAGCTTTTGTCCCTTGTCAGTATAAAATTTTAAGCCCAGACCCACGACTGTTAAGTCAATGTACCTCACAGTGACCTCTCCACAGAACTGCCCCGTTTCTAAGGTTGCCTTCACAGGAACAGAATACCTCCTCTCTCACCTGCACAGCAGCTGCTGGATTCAAACCACTGACCTCTTGGCGGGCAGCCCAAGGCTTAACTCGATTGA